TTTTGCTTTCTGCGGCAAACGCCCCTCGTTTGAATGACTGTCCTGAAATAAGAATATTGAAGAATATTTTAATTTATTTAAAGCAGAGTAAGTTTCGTTACTCTTGAAATCAACTTTGGGAGTTAGAAAGTTACGTGCAAGTAGAAATTGCTCCAATGTATTTAAATGCTCGTCTCTGATTATCGCAGCAAGAAGCGTGAGTGGTCCAAATGCATGTCTTGCTAGACATATTCACATTTTTTGGATTTAAGTTTTTCAGTTTTGCATCCTATACTACCAAATTACTGCCTCGTTTCTTCTTTCTCATTCGCAATCTGAATAACTTTACGATTTTTTATAGGAATGATACTGGAGTGTAAGCGAATCGTGATGAGTGTCTCAGGAAACTGATTGGCAATCGGAGTATTAATAGAAAAGTGGAAATGAACTTTGATGGAACTGCACGAAAATTAACGCAGCAACTTGACGTATCTCATTTCATTATTAGGAGCTACCTCAAGGAAGACTTGCGCATTATCGAGAAATTATTTATCTACACGGAACCGTCTACGCTTTATCTGTTTCAAAGGAAGCGAAGAGTGAAGTTGATTAAAACGGTCAGGTTTTGAAGCCGACGACACAATCAGTGAATGGGTAGATTTCGAGTGCAGCGAGGTTATTCTATGCGGCCTTAACTTCAGTTTACTTTCCTTTTTATTCTATGTCATCTATATTCTTCAAAATGACCGGACAATGAAAAAACATAAAGCAGTTAGTTGCACTTTATAACTTTAGAATAGTGTTTTGATATCGCTAAAACTGAAATTTTTCTGTCTACTAAGCCGCAAACGTGCAATATTAAAGCGGATTGTTTCAGAAACTGGTAAAATCTGATTTCAATGTTCAGCTTAAATCTAGAGTAGTAGTTTAGATTTAGGAATTACAGGGGTATGGGATCTTATGAGCAATTTATTTTGCATAGATTTGGTGAAGTAAGCACGGAGCAAAACCTTGGCCGATTTTTTGTCGCTCTTTGTGGGCTGCTTTGAACCTTCGTTAAAATAGTTTAATGATGTTTTCGGAGGCTTTTGAGGTTTGCGATGAAGTACACGTTTTGGATTACTGTAAAAAGGCAGCATTTTTCCGGCAGATCTTTTACACCATTATGAGTAACTCAATTATCCAAATAACACTTTCCGGAAGAAA